TCTTCTCTCTCTTTTTCTTAGACCATCTAGCTAAAGGTTTGCCAATGTTGTTTATCTTTTTGAAGAACCAACTTTTGGTTTTGTTGATTTTCTCTATTGTTTTTTCTAGTTTCTATATTATTTATCTCTGCTCTAATAGTATTTCCTTCCTTCTGTAGCTTTGGGTTTAGTTTGTTCTTTTTTGAGTTCCTTAAGTTTAAAATTAAGTTCTTGATTTGAGATCTTTCTTCTTTTTTAATGTAAGCATTTATAGCTATAAATTCCCCCCCCCCCTTAAGCACTGCTTACGCTGTGTCCCATAAATTTCGGTATATTTTTCATAATCATCACAAAAAATCTAGACAGCAATTTTTTCTCTCTCTTTTTTTTTTTTGACTTGTAGTGTTCAAAAGGACTTGAGAGTTCAGCTAGTCCAAACTCTCACAGGAATTCCTTTTATATAAAGCAACCCCTACTCCCAACACTTGGGGAGAAGGGAATGTATGAAAAAGTTCTGAGGGCTCAAATTTCACTACGTACTAAAGAATTTGCTGCATTCTAGTTTTTAAAAATGTTTTTATTTTTTAAAAAAAGTATTACATCTCATTTGCTTTATGTAAAGTAAAATAGAGAGGAAGAGTATGGGCTTTGACCCATTTTTAACATTTAAAAAACATTCATTCATTCTGTAATAAAATCCATAACTTAGAGTGTTGTTTTGTTATTTTTAAAGCCTCCAGTTAAGTTCCTATCAACAGTTCTTGGCAAAAGTAATCTTCAGTTTTCGGGAATGAATATAAAACTGACCATCTCAACGTGCAGCCTCACATTGATGAATCTTGACAACCAACAGGTAAGATCATGAATATCATGTATAGTTTAACATATCATCTATTTTTCTAGAGGAGCTTGGGCATAATAAAGAGAATAAAGTTTCAGAGTGTGTCTAAAACTTAATAAAGCACAAGGGAAAAAATCTGCCAAGCATTTATGCATAACAATAATTAGAACTACAGCATTACTAACCTATCACTGGAGCATTTAATTGCCTGCATACTTGCCCCTTCCTAATTGGCCTCGTATTAAGAACTAAGATGTAAAGAACATAGTGAATCCATTTGGCAACTCACATCCTTGAATCAGTCACTTATTACCCTCTGCTAACGCTCCCCAAAGGGAAAGCAAGTAACAGACTGTGTGTTCAGCTGGGGGTGCAGATGAAGGACAGAGGGGAAGAATTTTGTTAGGGTTAATGTCCCAGTTAACTGAAATTTAAGCAGAAAACATTTTCTTCCAACCCTTGAGGTTGAAAGGCTTTCTAAAATGTAATTATCTAAACATAATTTCTTATTCTTTGATGATTTATGATACCATGGTGTGCCTGAGTTTTCATCGTAAACCTTATTTCTGAAAGAACAGCACTGCTGAAGCAAATATAAAAGATATACAGGCGTTGGGCTAAATGTGTACTTAAACTAGGACAGTCTTTTTGACTTTTTAAACTAAATTCCATGTATCAGGTTATTTATGTGTGTTAGAGTCTAACTCTTCTTTGTCTAATATGTAGTGACTTGAGGTTCTTAATATTTAAGGTTTTAATGTATGGAGTGCTTTATTTTCTAAATTCAAAAGCAGAATAAAATATATTGCTTACACAGTAGTATAAAACACCATAGAGCAAAATGCTTAATATGAAACAGTTCAGAAGAGATTCCTGTCTAGTTGGGTCCTGGTTGGTCATCTCAGAGAGGTGATACCATTGGTATCATAATGGCAGGACTTTTGCTCTGTACTTGGAAGATGCAGCATCTCTGGGTAGAAAGTGAAACTCATTCAGTCTTTCAGGTGCTTTGCCCTCAAGACAGTTGTGGATGTAAAGTTTATTTTTAATTTTCACCCACGTGTGGTACCAGGGATGCTCAATGTTTTTAGTTATGAGACCTCACTGAGTATAGAAGCCCTTGAATCATCTCAGCATTTTGTAGGGGAGGAAGAATAGGCAAAGCTAGAGCCATCATGGTGACAGCCTTATGTGCAGAATCTAATGAGCATTTTTTTAAACGGCTCTTTCCATGGGGTGACTGAAGTGAATGAGGAATTTAGGAAGAAAAGGGTTGTGGTGTGTGTGGTAGGAGGCGTAGTTTATTCTCAGCATCCCTTTCCCCTCCACTACCCTTTTTGAGGCCACTGAAATTAGAGGTGGTATTGCCACAGACCCATAATCTTTCAGGCAGAAGAGAAGGAGGGACAGGGGGCATGAGTGGCTTCCACGACCAGTAGTTATAGCAATGAGGTACCTTTGGGAGTGACTCACATCTTTTCGGCACTAGTGTCATGGAATGGAGTTGTGTTCAGCCTGTTGCTGGAGTAGGGATCAAAGTTAGGATCTCATTAATCTCAGATCCAGGGGCTGACTTTTAAAAGTTATTTTGAACTATTCTGCAGGTGTGGGGGAAATGGCTTGATGGGGGAGAGAGGGGAGTGTGTAAAAAATGATGTGCCACTCTGATGCTTCAACTCAAGAAGCTTTATATGTCCCATCAAAACGGTAACTAGGCAGCAGAGAAATGACCTTATGGATGTAGCATGAGAAAGGGATTTATTAACTAAATTTTCCTTAAAGAAAGCTACCCTTTGAAGTTCTAAGATAAATACAAATAAATACTAATGCCTTTCCCCACCATTTAACTTTTAAGATATATTTTGGACTGAAAACATAAACAGGTTCAAGTTTATAGAAACATTCATGGATGACAGAGCATTTATAGGTCAGATGGTCACATTCATCTTCAGCCACTAAGAACAACATCAAAAACATAACCGTTCACTCCCAGAAAATGTCTCATAGAACCTCAGAGACACAAAATAAAATTAAACACGTAATGCTTGCGATTTTTAAAACTTACCATATTTTGGGATTGGAAAATACATTTTGGAAAAGCAAGTTACAGGGGTTTTTGTATATTCCTTGTTTTAAAAATTCAAGCAACAGACTTCCTTGACATACTTTAATATAGTATTTTAGGGTGTTAAGCAAAAATGTCAGAGTCTCAGTAGCTCCCACTTCCACTATTTCTTTATTCATTTCTACACTCCTACCACCAACTCTAATAGCTACTGAAATTGAGAAGGGTAATAAAGAGATAAAGAAGGTAAAAACAGGCAGAAAATAGAGACACCCTTCAGTCTCCATGAAGAGAAGCAGGCCATATCTACAGAGGCCTGGCAGGTGATGCAAACTGTCCAGGTACAAAAAAAACAACGGTGCAAGCACATTGATAAACACTGAGTGCCCCTGGGCCTCCGTGTTGGAGAGACAACACTGGGGAACACAGCAAACAGAATACTTTCCCTATGTAGAAGTGAATCAGATGCTTTTCCCATGTCACCATAGGTCAAGGGCTGCCAGATTTTCCACTTTTGAAAAAAAAAAAAAAAAAGATGGATATCTGGGAGTTTTGCTACTCTCTCTGGATTATGAGATGTTGGTCTCTAATTAAGAAATTAAAATTATAAGCATGAGCCAAACAAAATAGATCTGTGTCCTTAAGACAGCCAATGTGGGACATCTGATCTAAGCAAACATTTATAATACATATGGATGGATCCAGAAAGCTCTCCCCAAATCACACCACATACTCATATGCTTCTTTAAATTCCCTCTCCACTCCACGTCCTCGCCCTCTCCTCCACCTCACAAAATCAGGATCAGAATTAACTCCTTTCTTTAGTTCCAATTAAATGAAGATATACATATATGATATATGTATGATACCATATCTATCATATATGTAGATATGTATATCTTCATTTAATCCTCCTTTATAAGGTACATCCAGTTACCCGTATTTTCAGTTCAGGACGCTGAGGCAGAGAGATTAATTTATACAGTTACAAAGCTAGTAAGTAGTGAAGCCCAGATTTGAACCAGGTAGGCTGGTTTCAGTCTGATAACTGTAAGGTTTAAAAGAAATACAAGTGATTTTACACCCCTAAATGGGGTGTTAAAATGTTACCATTCTCCACGTTCAGTAAATATTAACAAGTATTAATTTCAGTGGTCTCTCAGGTTACTGCCTATTTTTAAGACCAATAAACCAATCATCAGAGGAGCCAGTTGCAGAGTCCAGCTCTCTTTCCCCCGAATAAGCCTTCAAAACCAACAGGGAGTGGTTTTCTTTTCCACTCCTCTTGCTCCCTGCTCAGTCCCAGAGAGAAACAGAAGATTCACACCTCCCAGTTTGTAGACCTTAGTTTTTTTCTGAGCCTATTTCCTGGCATCTTTATCTGGAGGTAAATGCAACCGGTCGGTTCACTGTATACTGGCATCCTTTTTTTTCCTTCACATCACACACGCAATTCATTATCTATCCAGACTCTGACTTCAGCTACAAGTTCTCTGAAAATGCAATGAAGAAGTGAGACTTGGGAGAGGCAATAGGATTAAGATGTTTAAGTACCAACATTTTACCTCCTGTCTAATCTTTCCCCTATCTCTCTCTCCTTCTCCCCACCAAGCTAGTGTTTGATGATGATCATCCTTGTCAGTTCTGTATTTTACAGAAAAGAAACTCTCTCCCTACAAGACAGGATGACCGTTAACATAAATAAGGCTGAGCTGTCTTGTTGTATTGGATGTGGCCTTTACTACCATAACAAAGCAGGCACATCTGATACCTTTTGATTAATCATGATAAGACCCACTGATATACTCAGTTTTATTGGGCACAGCCCTCTGACATAATTCCTCTTCTCACAGAACTTCAGCATCTTAAAAAAATAACTATAGCAACATGCTCATTGATAGGGCAGGCTTTCCCAGGTTGGTAAATTCTCTTACAGGAATTCATTAAGTTTAATTTCCACAAATTAATCTACAGCAGGTATTTGAAGCTCGAGCACTTTCCCTTATAAATAGTGGTTAAATTTATATCATAAAGTGGTTGCAATACAATAAAATAGTATAATCCAATATAAAGCATTAGAGAAAGTATGTATGCAATGTTATTAGCCAAACAAAATACACAGAACAAGAAATTTTATTATCTTAAATGCTGGTGCATAACCAATAACAAGCTTAATTAGAGGAGGAGACAGAGGGAAACTTCAAATACTGAGGTGGATTTCCAGTCAGGTTTAAAACTTTTAAAGGTTGACAGCATAATTGTTCAGGTCTTTTTTAGATGTAGGGCTTTTCTTTTACTTGACAATTTTCACTTAACAGTTCTTAATTATGAAGTTCAACCCGTCTTTTGCCTGTACAGTTAAATGAAAAACAGAGAGCAAGTAAAACAGAAAATTTCTCTAGTATAGAAGGGTGTTAGAAATAGTTTGTTTTCTTTGTACTTGCACATACATTTTAAAGTCTAAATCTGAAACTTTATTAACATCTTAATTTTTGACTTTTAAAAATGGTTAAGACAATGAATTTTCTTGAATTATAGATCATAGTAGCTTTATAAATGATCAAGATATATGTACAAACAAAATTTCAGATGTTCTTGGAAACACATTTTAAGATATAGCACACGTGATACATATTTCTTTTTGGGATACTGAAGAATACTCAATTTATCTTCCACTAAAAATTTAGCCTTTGATAATTGTGGCTTGGACAGATCACAAAGTGGAATCTTCAAAGTTTTCTCAATAGGCTTTCAGTCCAAATAACTCAAACTCATCTTGTGTCCTACGTTGGATATATCAGTGGGCTCTTGCGCTGGCAGTTTGTCTTGGTCATGACTTATTCTTGCAAAACCATCCCTTACAGTGAAATATGAAAGATATTTTCCCCAATGCAAGGAAAATACTCTGGATCAGCAACAAAGTCAAAGCCATAGGTGTTTTCAGGACATTCTTGAAAACAGGTTTTAACAGTCCTAAGATTCTTCAACAATTTTCTTCCTTTTTCGCAACTGTACAGTCACTGTCCTATTCTATTCTGCAAAACAAGACTTTTTTTGAAGATCAAGTTTTTCATTGGCATGGAACTATCTGGAATGAACCCAAGAGACAGTGGAATGTTGGGTCTCTCCTCAAGTAGCTTCCTCCTCTTTTAACAGCATTTAACTACTCTCTATCGATAATCTCATCACAGCCGAGTTCTTCGGTCAGACGATTGACAACCATAAGTGAAAAAAGCTCTTCGATAAAAGCCAACTGATCAAACGGGGTCTTCTCATAATGCATCTGAAACCCGCCATCCAGGGCTGCTTCTCTTGCTCTGGATGTTCTCAGAAACATCTTGTTGGCTTCTTCGAGGGCCGCAGATACTCTGTAGCCGGCACCGCTCAGCTGCTCCTCTTCCGGATAGTCGTAGTCGTCCTCCCAGTCGTCAAATTCCTCGCCCTCGTCCTCGCTCTCGAAGTCGGGGCCCGCGACCTGGCCCGGCTGCTCCCCGGGGCTGGGCCGGTTAGCAAGGCCGCGCTCCCCCTCCGGCTCCGCCATTGGCTGGGCCGCCTCCTCCTCCATCGGGCCTTCCTCCTCGAGCTGCGGCGGGGCCCCGGGGCGGGCGGGGTTCGGGGACGGCTCCCGGCTCCCGCCGCCTACCTCCATCTGCGGAAGGTCACCCTCGCCAGGCATCACATCCATCTGCAGGTCATTGCTCTCTTCATACAGCTCGGACAGCTCGTTCATTTCCGACATCGCACCAGCAGCTCAACCTCTCGCACAGCGTTTTCAGCAAGATCGGAGCTACGCGGCCGTGCGGCTGTGCGCGTGCGCTAACGCCGTGCGCTTGCGTAACCTCGTGCGTCTGCGCGACCCCCCGCTTGGGGGGTCCCGCCTCCGGCCTGGCACCCTGATCTGGCGGGAGCTGGTTGCTGTTCTGTAGGGTGCGTCAGCGTGGCTCGGTGGTCTGGGTATCCATTGTGTCGAACTTCATGCCTAGAGACTGTAAATACTAGCCCGTTGCTTAGTCTCCGCCTCACTTAACCGTTCTGCTGATGCTGTAAACTTGAAGATACTCTACACAGCCTTTGTAACGACGCTTACCCAGCGTCCTCCTCCTCCTCCCCCCTTCCTCCCCCCGCCCTCCTCCTCTTCCCCCCGCTCCAGGCAATCGCATCTGCTCCAAGGTTTTCACTACCTGTTATCTATCTAGGAGCTAATGACTTACAAATCCACACCTCCAAATCACACAGTGTTCTCAACCACAGATCGACATGTTAAGAACTGATCCATTCACCTCTTCTATTTTCCTCATTAAAAAAAAGTTAAATTCACACATAAGCATATTATCTGTGTACGTTTTAAAGAAAATTATAGTGAAGAGATACGGGGTCCCATTTCTTTTCGCAGGAGGTAACTTTCTGCTGTTACCGATTTGGTGTGTATTCTTCAAATCCTGTTTCTTTGCGTTTACATAGATTTTTATGAATTCGTGTAAAAAGCTTATTTTTTGTGTGTGTGTTTTTACGTCTCATAACTGTCTTCAAGTTACAAAACAAAAACCCCTCAGCAATATCTTGAAGATTTAGCTTTGTTGGTATACAAAGATATATATTTTTTCATAGCGTTCCGTTCGTATAGCTGTGGCATAGTTGACCTAACTATGCACAAATAGTTTTCAATTTTTTGATACTATAAACTATAGGTAAATGAACATCCACCAATGTTTCTCTAGACTAAATACCCAAAAGTGGAAAGGTGGAATCGTAGGGTATACATACTTTAGTTTTAATAAATACTGTCAAATTGCTCTCCAAAGTTGCTGTACAAATTTAAGCTCTAGTCAGCGGTGTCTGAGAAGATCCATACCCTTGCCACACATGCTTTTGTTGAACTTTAACAAATTTATCAACTTAATGGTATCTTGTTTTGTTTTCCATAGCCTCGATTTCTTGGAGATTGATTATCTTTCAATATGTTTATCAAACATTTGTATTACTTATTCTGAAAATTATTGGTCTTATTTGAGTTTCTTCTTGATTTGTAGGAATCCTCATAAACTCTTTATATGAATACTTTTTACATGTTGCAAATATATTCTGCCTGCCTGTTGTTTGTCCTGTTTCAAAGGGTCTTTTCTTATACAAAAGTTTTAAAATGAGTTTTGATGTAATAAAATTTAAGGTTTTTTTTTCTGTATGTCTTTTTCTTTCTGTTAAGATGGATTTTTCCTACCTCAGAGATCACAAGCATAATCTTTTATTTTCTAATGTTTGTGTAGATCTTTGTTTCTGTCTTTGTAGATCTATATTCTATCTTTGTCTTCTAATATATTTTTAGATCTTTATGAATCAAACATTTATTTATATAAGTAGTATGAGGACAGAATTTGTTTGGCTAACCCGTGGCGTAGAAGTTAAATGCGTGTGCTCTGCTGGTTTCGGATTCCGGGCGCACACCCACAAACCCCTTGTCAGGCCATGCTGTGTCGGTGTCCCACATAAAGTGGAGGAAGATCGGGTGGGATGTTAGCTCAGGGCCAGTCTTCCTCAGCAAAATAAAAGAGGAGGATTGGCATGGATGTTAGCTCAGGGCTGATCTTCCTCACACACACACACACAAAAGACAGAATTTGTTTATATATTTTTTTCATATATATAGCTAATTCAGCCAACTCCACTAATTTAATCATTTGTCCTTTTGTCTGCTGTTTGGTGCCACACTTATCATAGACTAAAAGTCCATGAATATGTGAGTCTGTTTTTATTATTTATTTATTTATTTATTTTTTATAATTTTATTTATTTTTTCCCCCAAAGCCCCAGTATGTAGTTGTATGTCATAGCTACACATCCTTCTAGTTGCTGTATGTGGGACACGGCCTCAGCATGGGTGGAGAAGCGGTGCGTCGGTGCGCACCCGGGATCCAAACCTGGGTCGCCAGCAGCGGAGCGCACGCACTTAACCGCTAAGCCACGGGGCCAGCCCTGAGTCTGTTTTTAGACTTTGTATTCTAATGAATTTCTGTAGTTTTAGAATATGCTTGATGATAAGGAAAATCTCGTCTCTTTGTTCTTTAAAAAATTGTCTTAGCTCTTCTTAGAC